ATTGGGATTTCTTCTAGCAATTTGGCACACAAAGCGGTCTTGTTGTTTAGTTGTTTGGACCTGGGTGGTGTGTTCCTAATTGTAAGTACCTTGCATATGTTTTCGATACAACACCCTGGGTAACGCTTACTATCTCTGCTACGTCTCTTTGGAGTATTCCTTTGAATAAGAAGACTAGGGACGGAAGGAGCAAAATGCTATCCATGTATTCATGCATGGTGGGCGAAAAAAGCACTCTAGGGTGGGGATCCTTGACAGTTCTGTTTGACGATTCATTTGACACATTTGAATTTGATTTGAAATTTTGTGGATTTGTCAGTCTTTACGGAGCTTATTTTATGTTATTTATTATTTATTAGTTTGTATAAAGATAGTAAATCTAGATGGAAATTGTGGCAGAGCTTAAATTAACAGTGACACTATTGCGATTTATCGAAAAAGACTCTAAAATAGTTGGTTGTGTAGCGTGCGGTAGATCTCGGCAAAAATCGAGTGGAATAATGGAACAACTTTTCGCTAGTAATAAGTAACTATATAATATACATACGTGTAGTAAACCGATCATTTATGAAATTCACTTAAATTAACTAATTATATATTTTTTCTTGCATTTTTGCTTTTATTTACTACTTGTCAAAGATTAGATGTCAAAGATTTAGATACGTAAATTTGACTTACCTGCTTCAGTAGCGTATCGGATGTTTATGGTTATAAATAATTATTATAACTTATCTATTTTTATTAAATTTTATATTTTTATATCAATTTTAATAACTACCAACATTTATTCACAACGTAAAATAAACTAAAAAATTATTGAGTCTATCCCACGTCTACCCTACATCATAGTTTTACATTTTTTAAATAAAATTAGAACGGCACTGATAAACCAGAATTTAAGTTGGCCAAATTTGAGGCCCATCGCGGTGTACCTAAGATTTTTGATATGCTCCTTCCTTAGTCTTCATATTCAAAGGGGTATTTCTTCTACAATTCTTCCCCTCTGTACATCTGTTAATCCAACATAAGGCATTTTATAATTTTTTTGGGTTAAATGTAACATTACTGGACAATCGTGATTTTACTACTGAACATAAAATTCAAAAGAAAATAAATCGCAGCAGTCGTTTATTCTTTATCATGGTTATTTATAACAAAAAAGCCTTGTCTTAAAGTTGCATACCAATTTTTTTCCTTGCAAGAAATTTAGGCAGAAATAAAGAGTGATTTCTTATAAGTTTAGTTGAGTGTACAGAACACATGACATAGATAAAAGAAACAAGTTTAGATTGAAAAGTGCCCATAAGGATAATGTAAATACTATTTGTCGCTATTCTTACAACAACGGTCGCTCTCCAAAGCTTTTGATAATTTCTGAGCGGTTCGGCGTTTTCCGGAATTATGTCGCCAAATATTATTCATTCAAATTTATTATTATTCTTTTTTATTTTTTTTAAACAAAATACAGTGTGTTGCGATAAGAAACTTTATTTTATATTATATAAGGACATATATGAAAATACCTATGAAACATTGGAAACAGACGTTATGCCACGATTCTCGATGGTTTTTGCAGTTAACAGTTCACAGCTTTTTAAGTTTTTAATGCCACTTTTTCACAATTATCAGGGGTTTGAGTAAATAAAATTTAAATTAAACTCACAAGATTAGCAATAATTACTTTGAAATGGACGCTTTAAACACTTTTCGGTATTTTTTCAACGAGGGCGGTTTAAATTTTGAAAGATTTTATAATTTTTGAAGATTCTGACTTTGACAAGAGAAAGTTATTTCTGTTTGCGGTTGTTCTTAGCAACCGCTATAGTAGCGCCCTACAACGTATGCGCTCCAAAACAATTATAAATTTTGGCGGCAAGCCAATCATTCCAATCTAAACTTGTTTCCTTTATCTATGACACATGGTTTACATTACAGAGATAGAAGGAAAAGCAATGTTGCCATTTCCACTGAATTTTCTAAAAAAAAATTAACAGAGAAAAACCAAAAAGAAACCAAAGAGTAAATAAAAATTCCGGGGATGGTAAAAATTACCCCCACCCCTACATAAATTTTAGTAGAAATATTTGCCAACTCCCCCAACAAATTGTTGAGAAAAAAAATGTTTTTCCGAAGATATGTTAGTATCACACATTATTTTTTGTGATAATGACAATACGCTTCGTAAATTTTAAATTAATTAACGTTCGTGTTTATTCTTGACTGATGTTCTCTAATGGACAAACAAACCACTTCTTATAGAGGTAAATTGTGTGACCAGGTATATGTATTCAACATTTCTTGTAATTGTAACGTGTTTGCAACTAGAGCCCAGTCATCAGCGTATTGAAGTTCTGTGATGAATTTTGTACCTGTTTTTGCCCTGAGTCTTTTTATGTTGAACAGACCGCCGTCGTATCTGTATCTGATGCCCAATCCTCTCTCCTGCAGTTTGCTGTCCACTATAATGGAGAGCGCTGTCATGAATATGTTGAATAGAAGAGGCGCTAAGACATAATCCTGCCTAACTCCTGTATTTGTTAGGAAAAAAAAAAACGTACCTAGTAATTCTATGTCGACGAAATATTGGGACGCTCTGTATACTACGCGATGTAATTATCAGAACTATTGCATGTCTATGATGGTCTATTTAATTTATTTATGATAATGTTAATCCAATAATTATTAACCATATTTGAAATAAATTTGATCAGAACTATATTGATAATCAAATTTAATTAAATCCCTACATGAATTAGCGTATTTATTTTAATTAGCAAGTAAAATATACTAATGTAAATAGAAGCGGATTATACGTAATAAACTGGAAAAAACGAAAATCGTATACAAATTTTGGTTCTATAATTATAGAAAAAAAAATTGGGAACAAACCCCAAAGAAATTCTCCATTTTAAGACTTCTCTTAAATTTTATATTTTATAACTTGTTTTTAATGCATTTCAGCGGTATACGTTTTTAAAAACCGATATATCGCCTTTACTTTTATCAAATTTGATGTGGTATTTTTTTCCCAACGTATTTTTCGCTATTAGCCATTGCTGTCAAGATAAAACTACATTTTATTGCATACAAAGATAAATATTATTATTATTATTATATGTTAGATGCAAAATAAGCAACTAACACTAAACTTTTTATTAACTAATCGAAATGCAAAAATAAGGGTTATGTGTTATGTTATCATTTCGACACAATGACTAACGAATACAAGAACATGTAACGCCCATATACGGGCTGCAGCAAAATTCCTGATATTAGACGCCATTTTTTTGGATGTACCGTAGTTTGGGGCGAAATCGATAACCGGGGGCGAAATTGATAATTACATGGTTTAGTCACATTTTTAAATTTAGCGCCAAATTTATGCAACTAGAAGCAGTGGTGTGCGTCAGTCTTGTTTAGTAAAGCTTTGATGACAAGACGTTATAGAAGTAGTACAAAAATATACCGTATAATTATATTTGTAGTACAAAATTATACCGTATACCGTAATTTGAAGTATTAGAAGAATTTATGTATTTTTTGCAAAAAACGCGGTTAAAATTAATTAACTAAAATTAAACCGCATTTTTTGCAAAAAATAGATAAAAAATGGCACACCCGACTGCATACGTCTTGTCATCAAAGCTTTACTAAACAAGACTGATGCACACCACTGCTTCTAGTTGCATAAATTTGGCGCTAAATTTAAAAATGTGACTAAACCATGTAATTATAAATTTCGCCCCCGGTTATCAATTTCGCCCCAAACTACGGTAACGAATGAGTCATCACAATTTTCGCGATTTTTAATAGTTTGTGTGTAGTGAACTTTGTATAAACTTTATTACAATGGTGATTACTTGTTCAGCTTTCAAGTGTAAAAGCCGCTGCGATAAGAAAGAACCAAGAGTTAGTTTTCATAGATAAATAAACAGTTCACTCTAACTTTTTAGCGTTTTCTTAGTTTTCTTATTGAATTCGATAATTATTTTTGCGTTGATTATTATTACCGCGTATTGTTCTAAAATTGTCCATGTATATTCTTTTTGTAATTTTAAAGACTTACATTTTTTTGAATTGTATTATTTGTATTGTGTATTTTTTGTTGTTTGTATTTTTTTTGTGATTTTGTTGTTTGTGAGTGCTTTGTCGATGAAGCTGTTTTGGCTTTTTGTACAATAAAGCGTTGTTTGTTTGTTTGTTTTCTGATATTATTATGTACTTGATATGCGCTATACATCGGTACTAGTTTTGTACCTTTTTATTAACATTTTAATACGTTTTTTTCGTAATTAATTAGTATGATGGCACCGCATACACCATAAGCGTAGTCAAAACATTTATCAAAAATATAAATATCTTTTCAAGCAGCTAAGAAGAAATATGCCACTGCACTGTTTGGAGGTATGGTAACAATTTGGTCTCGTGTGTTATTAGTCCTTGTATTCTTTAGTCATTTTTTCGACATGAGTTTGTCAGAATGGAGGGACACTTTTTATTATTTATTATTCTATAACAGTAATGATTTGGCAGTCGGTGAACCATAAGTTAGGTTAATGTCTAACTGTAGCTCTAGCAATCAAAACATGCTGTAACCGTGTTTTGATTGCTTTAGTTTCACTCTTTTTTTTTCTCGTTTTTCTCTGATTCATTAAGGCGCATCTGATTGCTTTGAATATTTTGATTTTAAAATTAAATGTGACATCGACAACTGTCAAAATATGAAGTGCAAAGATATTAGGTTATATTATCATTTCGGCGGTAATTGAGGTTTAAAATACAGCATGCAACCATTGGACGACTTTTGTCCGCCAGGTTAAGTGCATGCATACCGCCGTCAATAACAAATTAAATCAATTTTCCACCGTCAATTACAGATATAGAAATACTGTGACGCCGGATGGCGGTATATTTTTGTATATACTCACAATACCGCCGGCGGTTATTTAGCCTTTGTGTATTTTATATAAAAAATCTTCTGTTTAAGAACATTTAAGCACCATACCTAAGTAAGTGAAGACATTAATTCATAACATTAAGATGGAGACCTTTTAAAGGCACAAAAATGATGAAAATACCGTACGCCCAACAACTATACCCACGATTGCCTTACCACAGCCTCCAATATATCGGGTAATTTATTTGATTTTAGACATAGAAGAAGAATATATAGCAGTTTTCCATTTAGGTGGTTTTTAACAACGTATATGCCACATTTCTTGAATCTAATCACGTTTTTAAGTTAAAATATTTTGAGAATAGTGATGACGTAGTCTAAATCATGTGCTGTGCTGGTCCACTTCTGTATTGAGCTTCAAATCAATGAGCTCTCCTCTGATATTCTCATTAAGTAAACCAGAACAGAAGGACGTAATGTCATACCTTTGTGGCGAGTTAATTTTTTGAAAAAAGTATAGGTTTTTCCCCAGTAAAAGCGAAATCTACAAAATAAAAAGTTTTTCCTAAACACCACTGTTTTTTTTTGAATGTAGTAACACCACTGTGTTAAATCGAAAGGGGAAGAGATATACTTCCTGAACATTTTTTTCCCTTTTAAGCCAATTTGTTTTACTAGTAAAATACCACTGACAAGTTGGTTTTGTTAAAAGCACAAACGCAATTTGTGGTGTTAACAAAAAATTATTTTTTTTATTTTGTAGATTTTTCTTCTTGTGGCGAAAAACTCAGACTTTTTTATAGTCCAAGAAAATAGGCCTTTAAATACGAAGTTTGGGTAAAAACTTGAATTTTTGATATAAGTTACTTTTGAAGATCTAGAAACAAAGAGTAAAGTTTTTTCTTAAATTCACCCCCGAGAAGGGGTGAAATGTAATAAATAAATAAAATTATTAAACGTTCTCCAACCCAGTGTGAGTACATATTATCAAAGTAAAACCTCTGACGAGGGGTATGGGGCACAAACTCACAATCTTTTAATGCTCACTTGCACCGTTTGTATAAACTTTGTTTAAAGGTTAAACAGTGATTAACTATACAGAGCCGCAGTCTGTTTCAAAATACCAATACTTGAAAACTAATTGGATAGCCAAGAGCAAATTTTAACAACTTTGAAAGAATATTTTATTTAGTAAAATTTCATTCCAGCATTAGCCTATTAATTAAAGTGTTTAGGTATTTTGTATTCCATTTGAAATTATTTATTTTACATACACACCTAGGTAGTATTTATAACTGAATTACAAAAAAAGATGCTTTTGAATTGAAATATGATTTAACAGAAAATATTGGTTGAGGGGAAGGTTGGTTAATTATTATAAGCATTACACTAAAGTTTAACACTTAAAGTTTATTAGAAATGTAAAAATATAATATAACGACAGTAGTAAAAATAATTATTTAACGTTAATACTGTATGACGGAAAAAAAACGGCGTCCAGTTAGCTTGCAAATGACGATGACATTCCTTATATAATTTTACATATAAAATAACAGCGATTTTCATTTCATAGCCATCGCTGACGCCGTTTATTAGATCTTACTGTATAAAATAATTCTACTCCTTTAGAGATACTAAAATTATCACAATTATTTTATGTTAATAATTTAAATAATAAAAATATTTTGAATCAGAATAGAGAGTTAAAAGACTATTTAGTACAAAAATCTAGAAAACTTATTAATCTATATAAACATAATTTATTGCATTCTCATTGGTTCTAGATATTTAGAACATAACAGCAAATAAATATTGTTTTCCAGTAAGTACGTTACACTTTTGAAATTCCAGTAAGGGTTAGATATATAGGATAAAAATCATATTACAGATTACAAAAATTTAAAAATATATTTTCCAATAAATAAAATTTTATCTGAAATAAACTGGCTTAGATACAGTGATTTTCTTTAATCCTTTAAGAATCTTTAATAAATTTAAGTTTCAAAATTTAATCAACAGCTCTAAGAGAAATCTATACAGGGTGGCGCACCTCATTCGCCTCGGTTGATTATACGAAAACGGAAAGATGTAGAAACAAAATATTTTATGGGTATATGTAATGTGCACAATTTAAAATTATTTTGAAATACACAGGGTGTTTCAGAACTAAGATCCATACCAAAGTTATATTTTTTCTTATGGAACACCCGGTATTTTATTTCATTTTTGGATTCTTGGGCCCAAAAAAGATGTTATAAGGGTTAAATATGTTTAAAATCTTTAGTTTTTGAGATATTTAAACATATTTAAATTTGCATGCTACAATAGAATAGACTATTAACACCCTGTTCATTACTTTTCAGAATTAATTCTTATGCTGAGTTTAAAGGTAGAGAAATAAACTTTACTGAAAAATGGTACTGGTTCCTTAAATTTATACAGGACTATCAAATGTTGCTGGTTTATTTTAATGATATATTTTATAAAAAAAACTTTGTTATTTCAAATGCAACGCCCTGTATTTTTTTAGATCAATCGAAGCAGATTGAAATGCTCTTTCAAACTATATTAGGGTTTCCTATACCTATCTAGCTCAGATTTTGAATAAAAAGCGATTTTTAAAAAAAATTGATGGCTGGTGTCGCCATGGCAATTTTCTAGTGACAGTTAGTAATTATTTTCAAAGTCGACATTAGTTTATGGACATTATTATTTATAATTTATAACAGTTTAAATAACTAAATATTCATTATTTTATCAAGAAAAATAAAGCAGTATCTGCTGGCGGAACGAATAGATATGTTACTATATAGTGATACTATTTTGTGAGGAAAATTGCTCAAGGGTTTATGCTCAAAGATATCCAAATAGGAATATTCCTGATAAGCGTTTCTTTGAAAAACTTCTTGTCCTATTTGGCAGAGCTGGTAGTGTGGTTTATAAAAAACTTATTAGATTAGGCAGAAACCTGTCGTTGGAAGTGAATAAAATGAATTTGCCGTAGTTGGCTATTTTATAGAAAATCCATATATCTCATCCGTCATCGTAAAATAATTCAAAGAACTACTTCTTCGTTTTTCTTGATAGAATAATATACAAATATTTAATAAATATTATTTATTAAACTACTGTAGGTAAATTAGATAAAAGTAATTACAATTTTATTAAAAGATCACTTTTTATTCAAAACATGAGCCAAATGGGTATAGGAAACCCTAATACAGTTTGAAAGATCATTTAAATATGCTTCGACTTATTTAAAAAAATACATAGTGTTGCATTTGAAATAACGAAGTTTTTATGTAAAGTATATATTTAAAATAGACCAGAAATTTTTGATACTCCTGTATACATTTAAGGAAGGAAGAACATTTTTCTGTAAAGTTTATTTCTCTACCTTTAAACTCAGCACAAGAACTAATTCTGAAAAGTAATGTACAGGGTGTTAATAATCTATTTTATTGTAGCATGCAAATTTAAATATCTTTAAATATCTCAAAAACCAAAGATTTTAAACATATTTAACCCTTATAATAAATACCTTTTTTGGGCCCAAGAATCCAAAAATGAAATAAAATACCAGGTGTTCCATAAGAAAAAATTACTTTGGTATGGATCCTAGTTCTGAAACACCCTGTACATTTTAAAATAATTTTAAATTGTGCACATTACCTCCCCACATATACCTACAAAATATTTTGTTTCTACATCTTTCCGTTTTCGTATAATCAACCGAGGTGAATGAGGTGCGCCACCCTGTATAATATCTTATTATAGTTAATCAGTGTTTAGCCTTTAAACAAAGTTTATACAAACGGTGCAAGTGGGCATAAGATGTTTAAAAAAAGATTGTGAGTTTTTTGTCCCCTACCCCTCGTCAGAGGTTTTACTTTAAATAACATTATTTTCTCAAAATTTCGGTAAAGGAGAAACGGTAAGGAAAAAAAGTTCAAACGAATGTTGTAGAGTGTTCAATTTAGCATAAAAATGGTCTCTATACTTTTTTTGCTCAAATCAAAATTAACCGAGATAGGGTAGTTAGAAGCTAGAGGACAGCTTTTATTGAAACATTTTTTTTTCAAGGTCCTTACCGTTTCTCTGAAATTTGAAAAAAAACACTATTTATATTTTTCACCCCTCTTTGGGGTGAATTTTAAAAAATCTTAATTGAAATTTATAATTTTTTAAACAAATTGAATAAAAAAGTTAAATACAGGGTGAATTTCCTACGATGTTCTCTATGTGTCGGTTAAATGGGGAAAGAATTGCAGTTTTGTGGAGCCATAACGCCTTTCAGATTTTTGAAAAAGTTCATGGCTTACTAGATATTTTGGCTATTTTAAAAATTAATTTAATAATGAAAGCCATGTTGGAACCACTCTATTGATGCGTGAGTATCTACATGCTTTTCTTCACTTGAAAAATTCATATTTACAATTTTTGTTTATTTTAATTTACAAAGTTTGGATGTAACAGCTTCACATTTCTGAGAGCAACGGCGCGACGATTGAACTTGTTTCCATGGTTAACTAAGTGAAATTGTTTAAAAATAATAAGAATTGGCTATAACTCAGTAATTTTTCGAAAAAAAAAATATTATAGCTTACATCGCTAAAAAGCTTAAAATGGCGCTTTTTATGAAGTCATGGCCAACTATGGTTTCCATTTAAAAAAACATATGTTTGTATCATATGTCAAAAATGACAGGCTTTAGAAAAAAGCGGAGGACACAATCTCATTAAGGATGGGATTATCTACAACGTTTATCTGAAAACTTTTGTCTAAAATAGATTATAATGAAATTAGGGACAATTTTTAAAATAGCCGGTTAATTTTGATTTGAGCAAAACATTTTTACACAGTCCTTATCGTTTCTCCGAAATTTCGAAAAAATAATTTCATTTATTTATTTTACCTCTTCTCGGAGGTGGATTTAAAAAAAGTGTCACTTTATATCAAAAATTCAAGTTCTTACAGAAACTTCGTATTTAAAAGCCTATTTTGTTGGACACTTAAGGATTAGAACAGAAGGGTTGTGGTATTTTTTTTTCGCTGACAATTTTTATCATAAAATTAACTTTCTTTGTATTCTTCTTCTATGTTCTAGAGTCGAAAAATCTTCCTCTTCCTAAAATGCATTCCGCTCACTCTTCCGCCTCGTCCGGAGGTCTAATGGTCGGGCCTAATTTTAGAGTTGGCAAGAAGATCGGCAACGGCAACTTTGGCGAGATTAGGCTAGGCAAGAATCTGTACAACAACGAACACGTGGCCATCAAGTTGGAGCCTCTCAAGACCAAAGCGCCTCAGTTACAGCTCGAGTACCGGTTTTACAAAATGTTGGGACAGCAAGAAGGTGAGTATTAACAAATATACTTCTAAAGAGAGTTATTCACACCATTCAAAGCTCTCCTTGAATTGACGCTACCAACCCAAAAACCCCAAAACGGCCTAACCCCAAAAAGCTTGTTTTGAGAAAAGTTGGAATAAAGTTTAGTGACAATAATGCTACTAGTTTAATTTTCGAATAATATTTAGTATAACAACCCAGGGTCGTTAAACAAAGTTGAAGAGGTAATATTTTGGCCAACTGTATAATAAATTATTTAAATGAAATAAAGGTACCTACGTTGTGTTAAAAATATTTTTTATTATTGTGATTGTTTATGGAAATTATGGAAATTTTATGTTTATTTATGTTTATTTGAGGAAAATCGGTTATGTAAATCAAACGCTCAATTTGTAAATAGTCCTACCTATTTTATTAAATGAAATGAAAGGAGTGCCGTACTTTGCCTGGAATTCACAAGTAAAAGAGCACGACAGAGAAAACCTTGATCACTATTCCAAAGAATCCATCTATGTTGTTCTGAACTTTAATAAAATAATAATACAAATACTGTCCTCATACCAAGGTTTGAGGTTTAAACACAGTTAAAACATTCATAACTGAAGAGATGTTGTTATTTAGCAGGTCTCCACCTGCAGGTACTGAGGTTCCTTTTACAACCTCCCGTTGAGGCTACTTCCGAATCTACTTTTACTAGCTAGAGATGATAAGGTTGGTGCCAATATCTTTAGACTATGAGTTATACCATTCTTTGGTTTTGATTGTTCTTTTGTATGCTACGATATTCGCTCAGGCACGGCTGGAAAATATTAGTACACTCAACAAGGCCACACTAAGTCATACTGATCGAAAAAAACCGGCACGAATGGACAGTAAACACAGACAGATTCTCTTTATATTTAATTTTAAACTAGAAATTATACACTGTATAAATCTAATCCATTAAATACGTACACATGTTATACCAAATCTTTGCCTTTGCCAAAGCTATTACCTAACATATTATCTGTTATTAACTGTTATTTGTCTGATTTCCTCTCTTCCTAGTTTGCGAATAATATTTTAAAAATCAATAATTTTATTTAGTGTCTTAAAAATTAATATTTTCAATTTAAAGAAATTAAACATATTTCTTTAAATTGAAAATATTAATTTTTAAGACACTAAATAAAATTATTGATTTTTAAAATATTATTCGCAAACTAGGAAGAGAGGAAATCAGACAAATAACAGTTAATAACAGATAATATGTTAGGTAATAGCGTAAATTAATTAATTCTTCGTAAATAGGTGGTTTTGATCATCTCAAATATTTTGATATTTTACTGCAAATATTTGCCTAAAGACCTAATGAATTAAAATTTATACATAAGTATACGTATAATAAATGTTGATTACTAAAACAAAATGTGGATTAGGCCATCTTTCTTTATGAATTTATTTGTAAAGTTAATATTAATTTTATTATATATTATATAAATTATTTAATTGCATGAAAACTATTAATGAAGCAAATTTTGTAGCTTAAAAGTTTTATTTTTATTTAGATACAAAATGAGTTTCATCATCATTTTCAGCTTATTTATTTATTTCCAATTATGGTGTAGACTCACTCACATATTTAGGTATTCACTTTGTAGTTGGGCCCACTGTTGTGTATTGTTGGTTATGCGGGCCCAAGTTATACCTGGTAATTTCCTAATATCATGGTCCTTTCTCAGGTTCGGTTTTCCTATAGGTCTCTTAATTCCTCGTGGATACCATGCTGTAATTTTTGTGGTCCATCTGTTGTCCGTTCTCATTTGCCACGTGTCCTGCGCATTGCCGTTTGAGGGATTTGACTCTGTGGATGACATCTATTACCTGGGTCTTTTGTCGTATCCACTTTATTCTTTTACGGTCTCTTTTGGTTATTCCCAGCATATTTCCCTCCGTTGAACGTTGTGCGACCTGCAGTTTCCTTATGATATCCGTTTTAAGTGTCCAGGTTTCGCATGCATAGGTCATGACTGATAGTACACATTGGTCGAATGTTTTATTATTTAGATTATAAATTATTATTACTTACTTATTTACCATACATATCATTCCGCTCAAATTTGCAAGTTTGTGGATTAGACTGTTTTTGAGCTGGTAGCCTCATTTATAAACACTTCATAACCATTTCGTTTTATTAAAAAATATATTTTAAACATTTGTTGGCAATATTCCCCTTATTTTGAATGTTAATCTACCACAATCAATTCCTAATGCAGTAGGATTTTTTTAGTGTCACAATAAATATTAAGAAAATAGGTTGATTATTGGAATACACACCCTTTTATCAGTCTTCATGTCATTACTAGAATGTAGACTGTAGAATGTATGGGAGGGTGGGGGGTTAATCACCTTGACCTTATAGATCTACTGTGTCCCCCTTTATTGAGTTATAATCCGTCATACAGTTTCAAGGTTCTGATAAAAACCAGTATCTGAGACGGTTTTATAGAGGTTAGTTCTCCATCTCTAACAATATTAGTTATACCAAAGTTCATGGCACGAACGGATGTCGTCTCAGCTCACTCAGTGATGAGGTGTTCTGGTGTTTCCCCATTTTCCCCACAGAATCTGGATTAGCCGTTATTTCTTAGCTTTAATCTACGGAGGTGTTCGTTGAGGAGACAGTGCGTCCTGTTAAAACCCCGTGACAACCCAAAGAATGTTCTTAAATCAAAGAAAATCTTTGATTTTTCTTGGTCGTAAGCTCTGAGAAATTATTATTGAGTATCTTAGACCGTTGGAGGTTTTCTTTTCCATGCTACGGAAGGAGTTTACCAGGTTCTTGTATTCCGATTTAAGTTGGTTTCCACTTGGGAAGCAGAACGATTCTGGTTTAGTTAGTGGAGTGTTTGTGAGAATTGATTGCTTACAATACGGTTCGTTCAATTCAATCGTGGCCAGCAAGGATCCATAAAATTTGAACGAATATCCGTAAAAAAGAGTCGTAATTGAATCGGATCACAATGTGACTAGTTCGTTTCTGCGACGCGGCGGTGATATAGGCATAGAGATAGTCGGGCACTAATATTTAGACTTGAACAAAAGAATAAGATGCAAACTATTAGTGGAGTGTTTTATGAACCAGTATATTTCTGGAAGGATGCTGAAGTGCCTATTGGTTCGGAGTATTTAGTTTTCAGCCCAAATACTACTATTGCTGCTTTGGTTTTTGAAGCATCAGTATACCACGTTATGGTATGGTCTTTTACCTGCTCAACAAACGTTTCTCTCTTCCAATCCTTTTTATTGCTCAATACTATAGTGAGATGTAGTTGTACTTTCTTGGTATGTCATCCACTCGGAGTTGGAGGAGTATAATTTCCTTTTTGGGGGTATTCCAAGCCCCTGACCTGAAAATTCTCCAGTACTGTTTCCATCAATGCCCGACACTCCTACAGCGTCAGTGATACGGAGTTCGCTTTCGATATCTCACAGGGTGTAATGTTTGATTGAGTACAATCTTCATGTTTCTCCCGAGCGATCATGACTATATCATCTGCATACTCTATGCAGTGTATTCCTGCTAGAGTTAATCTATCTAGTAGTTCATCCACTACCAAGCTCCGCAGTAAGGGGAAGTTACTTCATCTTGTGGAGTCCCTTGTGTCGTTTTAACGGCCACACGTTTGGTACCCATCTGAGCCTTTGCTGTCTGTGTTGGCAGCATTTTCACAGTTTATTTATTTATTTATTTTATAAACGCCAGAGACATTCAACAAAAAATATAATTTGAACAGATAATAGATAATATAAAAATTATACAAAATACAGAAATAATGGATTCCATAAACTAAAAAAAAATAATAATGAGAAAAAAATAACAAAGGCCAAGCATAGTCTACAATTCATTCCTGAAAACAATTACATTTCTAGCACGGTTTTTAAATATACTTAAGGGTTTTACAAAAATCATCCAAGTCGTACCCATTCACACTTCTGGAAATTCTATTTGCAGGGCAATTTTGTGCATAAAAAGTTGAATATGTTCTTAAGTGCAGCAACGATTGTGACCTCATATGTCTTGGAGCAACGTGAAAGTCGAAATTTGCCAAACAATCTGGTGAATCGATACGATTCGATATTAGTTTGTAGAAAAAAACATAGAGCCAGATAATCCCATCTAAGCTCCAACTTTTGGAAGTTTAGATACTCTGAAGTCTCCATCATATTCAACAGAATGTTATTCTTACTAAGGAAGAAATTCATATATTTTAAAAACTTTTTCTCAATTTGGAAAAATCTACTTTTATGTGTTTCATAATGTGGCATCCAGATTATGAAAGAGTACTCCAGTGATGATCTTACTAGGCTGTTATATAATGTTATTACTGAGGACGGGTCTAAAAAATCTTTGGTATTTCTAAAAATAAACCCCAAATTCCTGTTTGCCTTCGATATTAAATTGTCATAATGGTTGTTAAAATTTAATTTGTAGTCAAGCGATATTCCAAGATCCTTAACAGTGTACACTCTGATTAAGTTGGTGTTATTAATAGTATACGTTACATCCAACTTACTTTCGCCCCTAATAAAAATAATAAAAGAGCACTTATTAATGTTTAATTTGAGTTTATTGTCCACACACCAGTCATTGAGTAGATCAATATCACTCTGCAGTTCTATAGAGTCTGAAATAGTTTTTATGTCCCGGTAAATCTTTAAGTTATCTGCAAATAATAAGTATCGACTAGTAAAATTATTTCCTATATCGTTTATAAAGATACTAAATAAAATTGATGCAAGATGGGAACCTTGCGGCATTCCAGAGAAAACTGCATAATGATTGGACAAACTTCCCTTTACTTTCACTTGCTGGGTTCTGCCTGTAATGTAGGATTTAAAAAAATCACATAAGGGACTACGAATACCATAGGCATGTAATTTTACTATTAGAATTTCGTGATCCACTAAATCAAAGGCTTTACAAAAATCATTGTATATTGAATGGACTTCGGTTTTATCGTTCATAGATTGCAGAACAAAATTTACGTACGGAAACATGTTCGAAGCCGTAGATCTGCCTCCAAAGAAACCATGCTGATTAGTTACAATAATATTTTTAAAACAATTAGTTAATGTTGGAATTAACATTTTTTCAAGTAATTTTGGAATGGCAGACTGAATGCATATTGGACGATAGTTACTGATGGATGATTTGTTGCCGGATTTGAAAACTGGAGTGACAAAGGAATGTTTCCAGTCAATTGGAAATGCCCCAGTAGACACACAGCGATTAAAAATAAAACATAGAGGTTCACAAAGGCTTACTGCACATTCTCTTAAAAACAGATTGGGAAGACCATCAGGTCCAGGTCCTTTGTTGATTTTTAAACTTAACATAGTACTGAGCAGATCATCATATTTAATTTCAATATTAGATAGGTTAACATCGATTTCAGAGGTAAATGTATTTTGCATATTTGAATTTTGACTTGACTTATAGACATTTCCAAAGTAATCCGCAAACAGATTGCTAATTTCCAACTTATCATATGCAACTTTATCGTCCCAGGTCATTTTGTAAGGTAGCTCCTGACAATAGTTGTTTTTATTTTTAATGAAATTCCAGAATTGCGATGAGTCAGACTTAATACTCTGTTCAGCTCCTTTTACGAAATTGTTATAACAAGTCTTACTTTTAAATTTACAAATTTCGCGCAAAGATGAGAATTCATAGTAATAATGTTCATCTAATGTTTCCTTATATAGCTTATGCATGGTCTTTTTCTTTTTGATGGTATTAATTAAGTCTTTATTAAACCATGATGGAAAGGTACTTTTTTTTAAACAGTATTTAGGGATACACTTCTCAATTACATCATATACAATTTCGTAGAAAACCGACATAATTTCGTCAATATTTTTTAAATTATAAATCACTGTCCAATTTATATCTAATAACATATTATTCAATTGTCCATAATTCGCTTTTTTAAAATTATAGAAATATTGTTCTTTATCAGGACACACTCTTGATGTTGTTTCTATAGTTAGTCCTATTGCCGGGTGATAAAAATCTTCATTTACGAGGGGAGTACATTTATTAACTGTTGTTTGAATGTTAGTTAGACAGAGATCAAGTATGACACCAAAAGTGTTTCTAATATAATTTAATTGAAATAATCCTAAAATTGACAACTCATCACAAAAGGCAATTTCTTTTAAAGAAGTGGCATTTTTTGCACATTCGTCAAGAGGATCCCACTGTAAATTCGGTAGATTATAATCTCCGAAGATACAAGTTTTACAGTTAGTATATTTACTCATAATATGACTGACGTCTGACATATGATTTGTGTAACTTTCTAAAGGAGAGTTTGGTGGTATATAAGTACAACCAACTATGTATTGACAACGGTTATATGTAAAATGAATAAAAACTTGTTCAACATTATTGTTTGTGGAAGATGTTTCCACAGCATTAAAAGTGTTCTTACATGCTATTAGGACTCCCCCTCCGCGATTTTTAGAGCTTGTAGTGCTGCTCCTATCTTTCCTGAATACGGAATATGAAGAGTCCACCAATTCACCATCGTTAAAATTCTCGTTCAGACCACTTTCACTCACACAAATAATATCATAATCCGAAATTGCAACTGATAACAAATAGTCCCTGCACTTGGTGCGAAGGCCGCGAACGTTTTGATAACAAACTGAAATTGATTCTTTATTGCCACCTCCGCCATTCAAAAATTTGTCTTCTCAACTATCCGTGGACTGCCATTCACATATTTGATTGTTTTGGTAGAACATCTTTCTTCTTGCAATTTTCTTAAATCCTCTCTCGCCTTTCTCAAATGTTCCTGCTGCATCCTCGTCAAATCAGACTTGAAACTTGGACCAGAATAATTTTCTAATAATGGTTTGGCACGAACAAGTCTCAGTGCATCCATGGAAGAGTTCATTATAACTTTTACTGGTCTTATCTTTCTTTATTGAATCTTTTGAAGCGAAAAGTTTTGATACCATCAATTCTATATTAACAAAGCAATTCTGTATAAAAAACAATCCGAGGATCATTGACACCAAGACACGTGAAATCATCCCATCAGTAATCTGAAATAATTGCCAGAACACATTAATTTTAATAAGACCAATATATTTTAGTTTATTTTTAGGTGTACCCAAGGTTTACCATTTAGGTACGTGCGGCGGCCGGTACAACGCCATGGTGATGGAACTGCTAGGTCCCAGTCTCGAGGACCTGTTCACTTTGTGCAGTCGGAAATTCCGTTTAAAAACGGTCCTGATGATTGCAGATCAGCTCTTGACCCGCATCGAGTTCGTGCACTCGAAACGATTGATCTTCAGGGACATTAAGCCGGAAAATTTTTTAATTGGCCGATCCAAATCGAAAAAAGAGAAAATTGTGCATATCATCGATTTCGGCTTGGCCAAGGAATATATCGATCCCGAATCTGGAAAGCACATACCGTACAAGTGAGCGATGCGTAAAATATTTTATATATTGCCAATTCTGGTGGTTTTAGTCGACTGCGATATCCTCTTTTTTTTCTGAATGAATGTGCATTTATTTTTATCCACGTGAAAGGACGTTTTAATTGCTTTTCTAAATTGAATTCGGTTTTTTAGGAAATTTGATATAGGAAAATAAAATAAAATATGACGGGAAAATGTTATGAGAGAGTTTATTAAAATGTTTGAACTGCCTTTAGAAAAAATGGTATACAGAGTGTTTCAAAAAACATGTGCCATCTCTCGTGGGGAAATTCCTAACGTAAAAATAAGACTTATTTTTCATATCAACATAGGTCCGATTTTGTTTTGTTTCGTAGCTACAGGGTATTAAAATCTTAATAATAGTTAGATTTATTATAATTTCCTTCCAAGAACTTTTAGTGATTCAAATGAAATTTTGAAGGTAAAAGTTACTATAAGTGTTACATATTTTAATTCTATAAAAGTGTCGATAAATTCATCAGGGGCGTGCATATGGTGTATTTTAAAAATTTTGATGATTTTTTAACTAATATGTAGCTAAATTATTTGACTTTTTAGTATCTCTTTCTAAATTAAAAGCGAAAGTTCCCATCTGTCAATTATACGAGGGAAAACAAAATGTTGATATTTTGGTGAAAGTTTCAAAACATCCTGTGGAATATGTTAAGACAGCAAGGAATTTAAAAATTATTTTATCATCTAGGTACATCCTTGTTCGATAGTTTATTCTTTGGTTCACTTCAATAGAATTTTTTTGTTGGAGATATTAGCTTTTTTGAAAAGACAATAACATTTTCTCGTAATTTTTACATTAAAACCATGTTTTTGCCTTTGGTTATAATCAACAGACCTAGGAAGTGGTTGAAATCATAACATGGAGATGTTTCGTTGCACTGTGTAGTAGATTACTAATTTTTTTTTTAATTATTAAATTAGTATTTATAACATTTCTGTTACAAAAGTTAATTTCAATTTCATATTTTTACTTATTTTTAATACCGGATAATCATAAACACACATATTATGAATAATAAAATTTACCTCTACAACTCGAAAGGTTTTGCTTCGAACTTTGATAAAATGTTTCTCTCTAAAATAATGTTAATAATCTTAAACAAAATCGTAATATGGAAGATTCACGGAGATGGCAAGTTAGACGTTCATGGACAAGCGGATTTTTATATAAAAGCACTTGATCCATTTTTTTAAAATATTTTCAGCATTATAGTGTTGCCGCATCATTTGAAAAGTGGTAGCATATTTCTTATTTTAAATGGACCACCCAGTATATTATTACGTTTTTGAAAACATCTTTTATATCTCATGATTTTCTATTATACTAACCTATACCTATAGAATGTGAGTCAAACTCTCTCTTTTACTTGATAATAAGATGAAAGACTCCATATTTTTTTTAATAATTGTCACTGTCATTTGATTTGGGGTTATAATTTTATTGACAAATATCGATCAAAGTCCAATTTTCTAAACAATCTGAACTGATCTCAGACACACCCTAAAACCTTTGAATAAGAAGACTAAGGAAGGAGCATAATGCTATCCATGTATTCATGCATGGTGGGCGGAAAAAGCACTCTAGGGTGGGGATCCTTGACAGTTCTGTTTGACGATTCATTTGACACATTTGAATTTGATTTGAAATTTTGTAGATTTGTCAGTCTTTACGGAGCTTCTTTTATGTTATTTATTATTTATTCTACTACTGATAGTTTTATAAAGGTAGTAAATCTAGATGAAAATTGTGGCAGAACTTAAACTAACAGTGACACTATCGCGATTTATCGAAAAAGACTCTAAAATAGTTGGTTGTGTAGCGTGCGGTAGATCTCGGCAAAAATTGAGTGGAATAATGGAACAACTTTTCGCTAGGAAGTGACTATATAATATACATACGTGTAGTAAACCGATCATTTATGAAATTTACTTAAATTAACAAAATTATATGTTTTTCTTGCATTTTAGCTTTTATTTATTACTTGTCAATGATTAGGTGTCAAAGAATTTAGATACCTTAATTTGACTTACCTGCTTCAGTAGCGTATCGGATGTTTGTGTTAATAAATACTTATTATAACTTATCTATTTTTATTAGAATTATATATTTTTATAACAATTTTAATAATTACCAACATTTATTCACAACGTAAAATAAAACAACAAATTATTGAGTCTACCCCACGTCTACCCTACATCATAGTTTTACATTTTTTAAATAAAATTAGAACGACACTGATAAAGCGGAATTTAAGTCGGCCATATTTGAGGCCCAAGGGTTTAGGTACCTAAGATTTTTGATATGCTCCTTCCTTAGTCTTCTTATTCAAAGCTTAAAACTCATATTTGACAAATAATGATGACGTAACGGTGAACGATGACTGAACAGTTTTTATCTCTAATAGTTTTTGAGAAGATAAAAAATAATACATGTGTAAAATTGACAAAAACATGAACGCAAATAAGCATTTGTAAAATCATGAATTAAACAATTTTAAAGTTAAAATTTGGGGTAGGGGAGAGTTACCTAACTTGGAACGGTCTCCTAAGAAGAGAGTAATTTTTTTAAGACATAGTAGTCTTGCGGCGGCATCTATTTGTGTTAGTAAAATGTTAATAGTACGGCCATCTATCAGATAGAAGATGGCTTGTCTAGTCATACTTAGGGGTGTAGAGTGGACAGCCGGTTTTTAATTTTTGGAAGATTTTTAAAAATATTTGCTAGCAGGACAACTTCGTATACTAACTTGATGGTAAGTAGCTTATACCTTTTAAGGTCGCCTGTTATAAGTGTGGTTTACTGTAATAATATTTCCAGAAAAAAAATTGCAATAGGTTGTGTTTATAAAATAGGATATATTTTTTTATGAATCAGTGCATATTTCTCAAGATGGGACAATTCAAATTTCTTAAGTTGGGACGTCCCAACTTGGGAAGCTGTTTAATTTTGGATAAAAACTTGTTCTTCCAACGTTTTTTTTTTCATTTCAGATGCCTCCGACAAATCGTATTTTTCGTATTTTTATAAGTAAAAATTATTTAGTCCTTTACCGATAGCTAAAGACAAAGAAACAGCTAGAAGATCATCATTGAAGTCTACTATTTTGACAGAGTCCCATACAAAAACCAACTGGAGGCCAAGCAGACGCCAAAAGTAAATAAAATAATAAACAGTGTTAAAAATATACTTTTCAATGAAGATCTACGTGCCCAAGGTGTAAGGGAACAAGTGTAAGAAAACAAACAACGCTGCAGTTAGAATAAAATTGACTGCAACGTAAAGAATGTTACTGGTGAAGATGACACAGCATGTACCGTCTGTGGAGATAATTATATGAAGAGTGGAGAAGACTGGTTTAATTGCCATAAATGTTCACAGTAGGCTCATGAGTCTTGTGGAATCAGGGATGATTTGTATTTCACATGTGCCCATTGCGAAAAATAATGTCCCTTCTTAGGCAACCTCCTGACTCGTTTTAGGAGACAAGCTTCCTAAGATGGGACAAAAACTCTTTTTTATAAATCAGGGAATTACATGTTTTTTGTTTTTTCCATACGTCATTTTTTGGCCAAAGTTTGTTGGCTATGGGGTATAAGTTTTGTTTATTTACAAAAACTTGTTTTATTTTGATTAGCTATTAAGATATTAACTTTTTAATAAAGGCGTCACATCTTACTCTCCACATAAGTTAACGACAGTATATTCGATCTGCCTAAATAAACCGATTCGATATTACACAGAGAGAGCAAAAATATTATTTATTTCCGTTTGTTATAATATTGCTCAAATCTTTGTTAGGTCTGAACTCTAATTGATACTTATAAAGTTTGAATATTTGTCATGGTATAGTAAACGCCACGAATGTTTGGGAGTGATTCATCGGTCGCTACCATGTGAACTAATCTGTTCAAGGTCACATAAAACTTAATTCCAGTGCCGTGGTGTTTCAGGTCATATAATAATCAATATATAATCTGTTGTAATTTGTTGTTTTTAACTGTCAAAGTCTTGTCAAAACATATATTTGGTTATAAATATATAAATGGTGTGCTTGTAGTGCGACCAATGGACTGACGCACAAAAACGAATCAATCAAAGAAACGCGATATAGTATCGTCTTTATCAATCACGCTAACATTTTAGAATAAGTAGGAGGAGCGCAGGCAGATGATTAGACTGGGCCTTTCAAAACCTACGTCTGCGGTAAAAATTTACGTTTTTAATGTGAAAATGATAGCGCGCGTGTCGATTCTAATTTCATCAAGCGATGAGTCACTCCCAAACATTCGTGGCGTTTGCACTAACGATTTTCTTTAAACGAAAGAATTATAATAGAATTATTAACTTTTAAATAGCTTTACTGAAGAAATAAGAAGGTTTAGGTACAATAACATGATATATCATTAAAAAGCAATTTTATTTGGGTTTCGATTTTTTAAATTATATACATAGATTTGAATTTAAATAACAATAATTTCAACGGTTTTGTAACAAACGGAAATAATTGTTTTTTCTGACCTGCCTGTTTTGATATTCAATCAATTGAGAGTTCGAATGTTTAGACAGATCGAATATGTCGACTTTCCTTAACGTATGAACTAAATTTTAGCTTTGAATATGTCGAATTTATGATTTAATCAATCAAGATTTTATTTTTGTCAGTTTTACACATGTTTTATTTTATTTCAAAAACTATAACATTGATTGGAATAAGTTAGCATAATGGAAAAATTTTGAGATATGAAAGTAGTTTTGAAAAATATAATAATATACCGGATGTTCCAGAAAATAACAAAGATGGTACCACTTTTAGTATGAAGCGACAATATTGTATTGCTAAAAATAATTTTAGACAGATAGAGCAGGTTTTTTTATACAAATATCCAAATTTTCAAAAAAATCCTATCACCGGTTATCAATATATAACAATATTTTTATTATAACATTATTATTTAAAAAAACACATCTGTTACAAAATTCACCTTTATTATATATTTTTTATATTATTTTTAATATCGGTCTATCATAAACACACGAGTTATGAATAATGAACTCCATTTCTACAACGCAAAAGTTTAAATATCGCTACGAACTCCGATAGAATGTTTCTCTCTAAAAATACGAAAGGTAAATTTAATTTTGAATTCCTTAGGGAACATAAATCATTAACTGGAACGGCAAGATATATGAGCATAAACACGCATTTGGGAAGGGAGCAGTCTCGACGAGATGACCTGGAAGCGTTGGGCCATATGTTTGTCTATTTTCTAAGAGGGTCGTTGCCGTGGCAAGGTCTCAAGGCCGACACGCTGAAAGAACGCTATCAGAAAATCGGAGATACAAAGCGAACTACCCCAATTGAATCGTTATGTGAAGGTAATTTAGTCCATCTTAAATACATTAATTAAATTTTTATTTTTAAGATAAAAAACGAGATTTGGTATGTTAGTATATGACATAAAGTAGGATTGATTGACGTAGTCAATTGTTTTTGGTCACTTCCTGTTTCACCAGAAATGACTATAGTACAATTCTTTTAAAAGTTCCTCAATATGGCCGACCTAGTTACGAAAATTGGTAATTTTTTTTAATGGAAAATAAGTTGGCGTTAGCGAATTCAGAAATTATTTACACTTTGGTTAACAATAACATTTTTCAGGATTGTCATGTTGACGTTTAAGTTAGGTTATTAGTTGGTTGTCATAAATCATAAATAAAAACATAGATTTTTGAAATTATTTAATAAGAATAAAGGTATTTTACCGCAGATCCGAAGAGATTTTACTTAAAGGTATTTTATAAACTTTCTCAGTTATTAACTCCCCTGTTTCTTATATTTCAGTTAAAGGGACGTAAGAACTATAGGAAGTGAATTTTTGTTTCCATGTTTTGACGATATCTGATAGTTCCTAGAATTATCAGGATTATTGAATAATTATAGTTGTTTAATAAGTGAAATTAATAGAAGACTTGGAAATAGGATGATGCGTTTCATGTTATAGTTGATAGATCACCCCATTTCTCTTAATTTGTTTTTATTTCAGTACAGTTAATCACAAACTGAATTGATGTGTGCAAAAACAGCTTTATTTTTTCAAACATCTTATTTAAATAGTTCTTTTATATACTGTTAAACTGTAACAACTACAAAGTCTTTAGCAAAAAGTTATAAGATAATAAATTTTGTAGATATAATTTATGAAAATTTATATATAAGGATTAGAACACAATCCTTTGAGGGAAAAAAATACTGAAAAACTCATTAAATATACTTGATTAAAAATAACAACATACATAAACAGTCATCCATGCAAATAATCAGAACATTATCCACATTATACCTTTATTAAATTTGTGTTCACACTCCTGTCAAGGAAAGCCAGAAATGTTTGTTTAAATATTAACTTATTTTAAATTGACAGAAACACATCAGAATATATCAACAACCACAACTATAGGTTTGGAATCAGTACTAAATTTTATACCTAGTAATGCGTCAACTAACAAGTATAGGATAAAAAAGAATTATTAATATAGAGTGTACTATACGATGTTCTGCTTATTTATGAAATGACTTACCTTTCAAATGTGAGGAATACTAGTAAAATAAAACATAATTTTTGGTTTGGTTTGGTGTTTGATATTCTAACTACATCTATTACAAACCTTAAGTGCTTTTAGTGAGTAACTGTATTTTTTATTATTGTTTGTGTATCCTGTAAAGTAAAAAAAAAATATATATTTCAAGAAATATAAAACAATGCAATATATATATATATATATATATATATATATATATATATATATATATATATATATATATATATATATATATATATATATATATATATATATATATATATATCAAACAGATTCATAAATACTATACTTACAATTGTACATATTATATATTTCAAGTGTTATTTGATCTTTGGTCCCATTACCAAAATTACCTTATTTAGATCTTCCCTACTAGCTGAACTTTTAAACCTGTTTTAAACTTTCTTTATATTTTAAAACTAATTTACAACAATCTGTAATGCCCGCGCTGTTTCCTAAAATCAATATAAGTTTTAATCTATTTATTATCATATACATCTTAAAAACCTGAAAATTACTGATACGAGCAAACTTCTCAAAATAATTAGAGACCTTTTTACAAACATCTGGACTAATTTATTTTCACGAATTTCTGGACGAGTCAATGTTTTCTAATACGTTTTTAAGCATTTTACACATTTTTTGAATATCTTCCAGCCTATTCCTCAGTTCTTGATCGGTGAAAAGATTATTTATAAGTATATAATTAGGCAGGCTGCAGGTTAAATAAAAGAACAAAATCAAGTAGAATTTGTGAATACAAACTCAAAAAATAATGAAAATATTTAGAAAAAGGAACCGTAAACGTCAGCCAAGTGTCAGAGTTCAATTAGATTTACCACATATTATCAATTTGAACGATTTGAACTACAGTCGATTCCAGTATAGAGATTTTCGTTTTTAAGCCTCCCATTCTGAAGTCCGCCATATTGGGAAGTGTCAGGTGAAAACAAGTATATAACTGTTGATTTTTAAATGGCAATCTCGCTATATTTTTACTTTATTCTGAATCTGAATTGAGGGGTGTCCAAACCAAACCAAACCAAACCAAACCAAAATATCATTTTAATGCAAAACGATTGCCAATGACTGCGAGGAAGACTGTCTATGACTGCTATGTAATTATTATATTCGACTGCCGCAAAACTGCCAAGAAAATGTATATGCTATTTCAATAGTGAGACAACCCTCGCTCCAAAAATCGTATTTTACATTTTAATCTAGAGTGCTGCGAATGTTTTCAAAACTCTAATTTTTAATCAAAGAACCTTGGAAAAAGACATTAGATCCATGGATTAGATAGTCTAATGTTTTTCGTTGTCCTGGTCGGTTAAAAGATGCCAAAATCGTATTTTTAATCATATATCATTTTTTCAAATGGGACCAGGTTGGCTCTTTAGCATATTTGGAAAAAGCATTTTTTGGTACCACACACTTGGTATTTCGAGTCCAATTGTCGTTATGAACCGCATGTTACAATTTCAAATCAACCATATCCGAAAATGTCAAAAGTTGAGATATGATACGTCATTCTATTCAGAGTGTCATTTTCTATTGAATAAAGTAAAAATATACCGGGGGTGCCATTTAAAAATCAAAAGTTGTAGTCATTTTCGGTGAAACAGGAAATGACCAAAAACAATTGAATACGTCAATCAATCCTAATTTATGTCATATACTAACATACCAAATCTCGTTGTGTTTATCTGAAAAATAAAGAAGTTATAGGGGTGAGCCTCTTTTGGGACGCACCCAGTATAGAGTTACTGATTTGATTTTAGTAAAATAATTTTTGGCATTCGTTGGTATAATCTGCGCCATTAAATGTGATAAAAATAAATAAAAAAAAACGATAAAAAATGTAATCAAAAACTTTGTAAAAAGATATTTTAATATAATTAGTCATAATACTAAAAAAATTGTCTAATAAAAATTATATTTTTACAACTGTACACGAACATATTTATTTATTATTAATTTTGGTGATAAATAAATATAAATTAATATATTAATAAAAAAACTTTTCTTATAGAATTCTCTTTTATTTTTTTAATATTGTTAATATTGAACCATCATAAACACACAAGTTATCAATAATGATCTTCATCAGTGCAACCCCAAAGAAAGTTATAAATCCCAATCCAACTACAACTACAACGCGAATATTTTTTTAAAATTTGTTGATAAATATTTATATTAAAATTTTACATCTCGTAGGTCAACCTGATGAAGTAGCTACTTATTTAAAATACGTACGAAATTTGGATTTTTTTGAAACGCCAGATTACGACTATTTAAGAGGCATGTTTAAAGAGCTGTTCAATAAAAAAGGGTTTCCAGAAGATGGTGTCTTTGAATGGACAGGTAATTTCAAACTAATCTTACACTGTAACGATAAACCGTCGTATCACTCAAGTTTTTATCCCTTATTGGAGAGTTTCTAAAAAGATCAACACTGACTTTCACAATAGTTAAGAGTCTCTATCAATCTATGTTTTTTGTTTCTAATACGTTTTTCTTTTTTGTATTTTTAGTAGTTAATAAATAAATACAAGCGGAATATACTTCATCTAAAAATCATTATCTAGCGGAATGATTATTAAGTCTAGTTATTTCGGTAAAATCGTAACAAATGCATTATTACATTTTTAGCATGGTCTATTATGTACTCCAAAAACATCCTATATGGGTTTTTCGCCACTGCAAGAAAATCTACAAAATAAAATAGTTTTTTTTTGTAAACACTGCTGCGTTAATCCAACGGAAACTACTTGTCAGCAGTTATTATTATTATATCACAGATAAACAAACTTGCCTAACGAACAAAAAAAATGCTTAACGTTTTGGAAAATTTATCCCTTTTCGTTGTCGGAAGCAAAAAAATACAAAGAATAAAGAAAAAAACTATTTAAAATATTTAAATGCAACTATTCGGCAACACTTTAGCTTTTTTAAAACAGATACGTCTACAAAAACCGTTAACGTTCTGTTAAAATGACATTATATCAAGTTAAACTTCAAAATTAACAATTACTACCTAATTAATAACAATTACTTAATAAGGTAAAACCAAAAAGCCTCAAAACTTTCTGCATTATTATTTTTAATTTGTTTTTAGTTTTTGCGTATGTTATGTTTATTTATGTTATGTTCTTTAAAAACAAAGAAAAACATTGGATAAAAAAAACATTGGCTTGATTTGGAAATTTGCCTAACGAACAAAAAAAGCTTAACATTTTTTTGTTCGTTAGGCAAATTTGTTTATCTGTAAACCTAACTACTGACAAGTAGTTTCCGTTTAGCGCAGCAGTGTTTACAAAAAATAACTATTTTATTTTGTAGATTTTCTTGCAGTGGCGAAATACACATATAGAATTTTTTTGGAGAGATAAATCCGCCACATAGGTACAAATATTTTTTACCATTATGTACTGTATTAACTTTAGTTTAAATATTAAATATGTATTAAATCTTTTGATAAGCTGAAAAATGTGTTCTTACTTAACATAAATAAGCAAATCAGCTGAAGTAAGAGGCTTATTATGAATGAAAATTTAAACAATATTTAATTGTATAGTTATACTTGTTTTCTTTTAGATAGAGTGTCGTGGCTCAACGCCGAAGAGAGAAAGGAAGTTCATAAAACCAAAACCTAATTTCAAGGCACTTCTTGATTTGTTTGTTTGACAGTGTTTTAATATACAATATTTAATTGTCTGACTTTTTTTTTTTTTTTTGTAATATACACATATTTCTTGTACAAGGTGGCGCTTCTCCGGTGGTTACTTAATAACATTTTTACGCATCAATTTTTGTGTAATGGAATACCCATGTGGAATACCCTATACAGGGTTGTTCACCACATACGACACGGAGTATTGTAGCTAAACGACTAGATTTTTAAAAATTGTAAGTTTTGAGTTCGTTGAAGGACTATTAGAGCTACAATTTAAGAATATTTTTACAAGATACAGAGTGTCCCAAATAAATAAAAAATATCAAAGTTGTACTTTTTAAATGGAACACCCTATATATTATTACATTTTTAGTTTCTACGATTAAAATAAAGGTAATTTTGATTAAGGTTTATTGCACTTAGACCTTACCGTTTTTGGAATATTTTCAATTTTATGAAATTGCAGTAAAAATTTTAAGGCTTCATTTCTCCGAGGGTATCGAAGTTTTTAATACTAAATATTTCCTGAAGTTTATTTATTGATCAGTTATTGTGTTGCAATAATAAAAACTTTACTACCTTATACAGGGTGTCTAAAAATTAATTTTAAATAGTTACTAGCTTTAAACGGCAATAACTTGTTTAATTTAAATAGAACACCCTGTATATTTTATGAGAATCAGATGTACAATTTAATTGTCTATCAAATTGTATTATACCATTTTTTACCGATCTCTTCAAGTTTCCGTAGAAAATGCATTTTCTTGTAATTTAGAACTCATTTATCAATATACCCATGGAATACTGACATTTTAGATTATTTTTAAAGATGTACCAAATTTTTAAAGAATACAGATACTAATATTGTCGATATAGTTCGTTTATTTCATTATAAAAATAAAAAAAAAACTGTTTAAATATTTGTTAAAGAGGACCAATTAATATGATTCCAGTATTGAAACTACATTAATTGACTGTTTGCGTTGATTAATAATAATTGCTCCAAATACTAAAAAACTGAATTATATATGTGTATTAGACAGTGTGGTAAAAAGTAACACCTTAAAAATGATATTTAATTTTTTGACAAATGCTTATTTATAACAGAGACGTTCATTTTCATAACTTATTATTATATTAATTTCTGATTCAAATCCACATTTATTTAGAATAATTTATTAACGAACACAATTATTAAGTATGTAGTTAATTAGTATTGGGGCGGAAATACTGGTGGTATATTTAATTAATGGTATACTCTTTTATAAAGATTTAAATAGTTTTCTTTTTGCATACAAATGGGCTACTAATATTATCGTTTTACTAAAAACGATAATATTACTAGCCTGTACATTTTGTACATTTGTTGTTTTAAAAACAATCTAAAATGTCAATATTCCATGGATATATTGATAAATGAGGTCTAAATTAAAAGAAAATGCATTTTCTACAAAAACTTGAAGGAATAGGTAAGAAGTGGTATAATACAATTTGATATACAATTAAATTATGCATCTGATTCTCATAAAATATACAAGGTGTTCTATTTAAATTAAATAAGTTATTGCCGTTTAAAGCTAGTAATTATTTAAAATAAATTTTCAGACACTCTGTATAAGGTAGTATAATTTTTATTATTGCAACACAATAATTGATCAATAAATAAACTTCAGTAAATATTTAGTATTAAAAATTTTGATATCCTCGGAGAAATGAAGTCTTAAAATTTATACTGCAATTTCGCAAAATTGAAAATATTTAAAAAACGGTAAGGTTTAAGTGTAATAAACCTTAATCAAATTCTACCTTTATTTTAATCGTAGAAACTAAATGCAATAATATACAGTGTGTTCCATTTAAAAAAAATACAACTTTGATATTTTTATTTATTTGGGACACTCTGTATCTTGTAAAAATATTTTTAAATTGTAGCTCTAATAGTCCTTCAACGAACCCCAAACTTACAATTTGTAAAAATATCATCGTTTAGCTACAATACTCCGTGTCGTATGTGGTGAACAACCCTGTATATTAATGGATTTTTGGATTGTAGGGAAAAAATAAAGGTGAGTTTCATTAAATAAGCATATGTCTAAAATGTCAGGATTTTGACATATTTCATATTTTTTGAAAATGAAGAATAAATTTTAAATTTCAATAACAACTACCTAAATTGCCCTGTAATTTACCCTGTATAGACTGATAAGTGACCCTGTATAGACTGTGAAAAGTAAATAAACTATTTTGATTTTGATTTTTGATTTTTTGATATTTAATTACAATAACCATTGAATGTTAAATCAAATTAAAATTTGGCGCGAAAAGTTATACAGAGTAAGACAAAATTAATATTGAATATTTGTCACTTTTAAAAGCAAGTTACCCCTTTATTTTAAATGAAACATCCAGTATATTGTTTCGGTATTTCAAAGGAGAGCTAGATGAAATCAAATCCTCAAAATACTTTCTTTCCTGTTCACTGCATAAAATGATTCTATTTTCAAAAGACCTTTTCGTGTTAAAAGGCATATGTGGAGTTTTACTTCGAAAAGCAGTCACAATCATTTCTCTCACGTAAATATATTATACTGTCTTTAACATATATCTCCATAAAAAATTTAGACTAGATAAGTCTGGAATATTCTATTAGCAAAGTATTCTATTAATTAATTGGTGAATGCACACCCAGTTAATAGAATCATAATAATATTAATTCTTCCTGATGTAGGATAAGTTTCCATTTTCGGCAAATTTCTGAGATTTTTTTTTATTTAACTGACAAAAAATGGGAACAATTTTTTTTATGGTATTTGGACTTAAGTTATGAGGTATATTTAGGAGATATTGTGATAAAATTGGTCATTTCCTGCTCAAGCTATACGAAAATAGAATATAACCCTCCAAAATTAATGTGTTTTGCAAGAGTAAACTTGGCAAAAAACAGGATAATTTTTCGGGTTTAAATTGTGAGATTTTTTCTCTAAATATCGTAAAATACTTTTTGTAATTTAATAGCTGGTTTTTTATTAATATTTTCTATTTTATTTGTTTCTTTATTTATTTTTGTTCATTAGTATATATTTTTTTATTTATGTAATTCCGCATTTTTAGTTAAGCTGAAACCTATATTGTACCTGTGTTGTCCTATTACCAAAATATATTTACAACTGAAAATTAAAATAAAAACAAATTTACTAATCATTAAATAATTGTTTTCATTAATCCAAATTTTTTAACTACAAAATTTTCAACTTTTTTTGCGGTAAAAACCTTATACCGGGTGTTGCATCGTCGGACGGGACATAGGAAATCCCATGTAAATTTTAATGGGGTCAATTATTGGCTTCCCTAATTATTTTAGAGAATAATTCTATTTAAGTTTATTGAAGAGCACTAAAACCCACATTCAAAAGAATAACTTTGGATATTTTTGATTAGCTCGTTTACGAGTTATCGCCGATTTCTTTTTAAATATTTCTCCTTTCTTATGGCCCTTTATTTACTCATGAGCACCAGTCAAGGTAAAAGATAACTGTCAAATGAAGTAGTCATTTCAGAAATTTACCTATTTAGTGCTTTATTATTTTAAGATTATTTTTGAAAACTCATTCCTACATCGGAAATCTTAAAAATGTATTTATAAATACAAATTAATATGAATTAAAGTAAAATAAAGTAATCAATTACAAGGTTAATTATAGTATTATTACAATATTCAATAACTTATTAATTTAGGTACTATTAAATTGTTAGAACTTTAGGATTTAAGATGTTCAAATATTCCTCCATCGACTGCTAGACAATAACCCAGGCGATCAAAAAATTCTCTTCTTACATTCGCTAGTTGGTAAACTAAAATTCTATTGCATTCGGCAGAAATAGCATTTTTTAACTCGTTTAGATTTGGGTATTTTTTATCCCTGTATATCCTGTTTTTTAAATGGCCTCAGAGAAAGAAATCATTTGGCGAAATATCAGGAGACCTTGCTGGCCAATTTACTGTATGATTTAGTAACATATCGTTTCCGTTAAAACTATTGTCTAAATATTCCCGAACAGCCAGGGTACTATGTGCCGGATAGCCATCCATTTGGTACCAAACTTCCTGATTTTCCCTAGCGGCATCATGTAAAGTTCCAAATAATATTGGGCATTTAAATTTCGCGTAAAAACTAATGGCCCGATAATATTGTGTCCGAATATCCCTGCCCAAACATTTACTTTCTGTGGATATTGCGTCCTTGTTTCGACAAACCTGTGTTGGTTTTCTTTGTTCCAATATCGATAATTTTGAACATTGAGTTCATTATTTAAGGTAAACGTGCATTTGTTAGTGAAACATATTATGTTTTTTAAAAATTTCCTATCCGTCTTTGCTCTTTCCATCATATCAAAACAAAACGCCTGCCACCGTATTTCGTCCCCATCTCGTAGCTCTTGGTGCTTTTCATATTTGAAGGCCCAGTTACATCGAAACACCGGTTCCCATTAGAACACCGAAGTTAAGCGACGTAAGGCGATACTAGTAGATGGACGGGTGACCGGTTCGAGACTCTGTATCGTGCTGTTGTCCAATAAAAGTAAAAGTGTAAAATCTATTGACACACACTGCTCATTTACGCCGGTTCGAGGCCGGATGAGATCGGATATCTCGTGAGTAAGAGTTTTAGACACTTGCCAAGTCGGTAGGCCATTGACCATGATATGGCCGAGGACCGCGGTTCGGATTCCGCGTAAACAAAGTCGGCCCCGTCCAGATTAGCCCTGGCAGCAAAAAAGAGACGTTAACTGAAATCTTTATTTTAAGACAATAAAAATTCATTAATAAAAACACAGTTAAAATTAAAAGAATAAATTTAATTTACATTTTAGAGCAACATGGTTCAAACAGTAAAGAATAGATAATGAATAATTTTATTTATTACAAATATTAAAATTTTGTAATTTTTGAAAGGTTAAATCATTATTAGTGTATTTTAAAACACCTGTTATATTATTTTTTTTGAAAATTTCAAATATTTATAAGGTCCGCTTTACTTAAAACTAAATAAAACAGAATATATCCATAACATTAAAAATATCTTAAAAAACGATTCAATATAAGGCGATATGTTTTTATGAAGGAAACATAATGTCAATGGGATTTATTTTTCTCTCAAATCCAATTTAGCTTCCGCAGCTCACTGGATTTTATTCTATTACAAATCGTCTCGGACCCAACATTTTTTACACCACAAATTGTAAACTGTCACATTTTTTGGTATCTATATTCGATGTTCTTAGCCGACCCTCTTTTTATTAAAATATTGACAGCGTTATCCTTTACTGCGGATTTTCGGAGTATTTGGACTTATTTTAGGGGGTATATTTAGGGGATATTGTGATAAAATTGGGCATTTCCTTCTTGTGCTATACGTATATAGGATAAAACCTTTAAAATGAATGTGTTTTACAAGAGTAAACGTGGTAAAAACAGGATAATATCTCATGCTTAAAGTACGAAGTTTTCTCTGCAAGTATCGTATAAAGTATAATAAAAAAATAATTTATTACAAATATTTATTTAATTTGTTATATCCATAATTTTTTTTTTTTAATTGTTGTTGTTAAATAAAACCAATTTTGCATAGTGCATGTTTTTTTATTGTTTGGGTATTAAATCTATTTTTAAGAAATTAAATATATGATGTCATATATGTCATTCTACTCAGAGTGTCATTTCCTATCGAATGAAGTAGAGATATATCGAGGGTGCCATTTAAAAATCAAAATTTTAGTCATTTCCGGTAAAACAGGAAGTGACCAAAGACAATTAAATACGTCAATCAATCCTAATTTATATAGGTCATATAGGATAGGTTGCTGGGGTTCGGGATCCTGTTTGATTCCTCACTCGGAGGCCTTGGGCCCTATGCGATACCTCTGTATTATTGTACCAAACCTTCCTCTCATTCTTTCTTTGCGTTAAAGCATTTGTTGGCTTCACAGATGTTGGCTTCTCCTGCTTCCTCTTTTTTACCCAAAAAACCTTCCCTTAAAGTTTAAAAGCATTGGTATTCCAGTGCTGGACAGGGGTACAGCAGATGCTCTATGGTTTCTTCTTCCTCTCCGTATTCTCTACAGTAGTCGTCATTGGAAATCTTTCATCTCACGAGGTTTACCCCTGTGGGGCTGTTGCCAGTGATGATACCTACAATTATGCGTACTAGGTTCTTTTTATGCTCTAGTAGTTGTTTTGTCTGATGTTTGCTATCTACCACTGGCCACAGTCTTCGAACTATAGCGCAGTCCTCACGGTGTTGCCACGTCTCTTACTGCTTGGCCTTGATGGTACTTTCTATAGCTTCCTTCAGTGTGGTGATCGTCAAAGTGGTATCTGCCACAGACTCTCCCTTGGCTCCCTCTTTGGTGAGTCTGTCTGATACTTGGTTGCCCACAACGTTGCTGTGGCCTGGCACCCAGCACAGAGTGGCCCCGTCTTGGCGTAGCCAGGACAGTGCTTCTCGGCAAAATGTCTAAAATGTATATCCAAATGTATGTCATATACTAACATACTAAATAATCTCACCGGCAAAAAACAACCTAACCGGCCACTAAAAACTAGTCCCAATTTCAAAGTTGGATTTCGTGAACCACTCATTAGATTTTGATGATTTTTTTGTAAATTAATTTCTTCTTAAATTGTAAATTAATTCCTTCTTAACGGATGCTACATCAGAAATTTTTATTCCGAATTTATTTTGAGCATATACAGGGCACAACAATAAAGGCGGGCGGCCATTGCGAGCGAAACTAAACTAAGCCAAGCTAAGATAAGATTTTTAAAAATCAGCTCCCATACTTTTAAATGCATCAGCGACCACTTGAGCGAAACTAAACAAAAATATGTGAACGAAGATACAAATCGTAGCTTAGTTTCGCCCGTTTTAGTTCGTGACAGGTTCCAGCAAATTTTTCGCAGCGATTACTTCTATGATGGCAGAGAATACTTTACGAAAACGCAGCTAACTTAGCTGACCACTAAGCGAAAATCGTTCCCACTGGCCGATGAAACTTATTTTCGCTTAGTTGCCGTTTCTTTCTATATTCTTAGCTTAGTTTAGTTTCGCTCGCAGTGGCCGCCTGCCTTTAGACGAAGTTTTTTTCCCGAACTTTGTAACACCCTTTAGTGTACAGCAGCTGTAGTATCTATCTCTAAATCACATTGAATCACATTGTAGCGTCATCTTTTGTGAGCATTTTGTTTTTTTAATCACGACATTATCTCTCTTTTTATTGGAGATACACTGCTTTAAAACTGGAAAAATGCTTCGCAGGCAGAAAGTTTTATATGTAAATAATCAAGGCGACATAGGTGAAAACGGATTCATGAGTATTTGCAATATGACAACAACGGTTGTCAAATTATAAAATGCTATTATCTGTGACGGATGTTGCTAGTATTTTGGCTTTAATTGACGATGTTAGAAGTCAACGTTATGTGTCGGATACTCTGGGCAGGGGCGGATACAGGAATTTATTTTAGAGAGGGCCCAAATAAAAAATAATGTAGAATATGCTATTTAGGGCGCCAATTTTAACCCAAAAGCCTGATATTTAACCCAATTTATAAATTTTAGGGGGGGCCCGGGACCCACAGCCCCCACTCTGTATTCGCCACTGACTCTGGGATGCCTGGAATCGGTATATGGAAACCGGAAATTTCACCAGGCGAGTGGGTACGGAAGACAAATGCAATTGACTACCGCTTTATTGTCCTGAATACTTTACGAAATCGTAGAATTACAGCATTTCAGAATCAACATCTGCTATAAGCCGTGCGTAGAACTCAAGTCAGTGAGAGAATAATCCAACGAAGACTAAAAGAAAACAGCTTGTCTACAAGGAGGCCTTCCACAGGACCTCAGCTTCGACGTTGTGCGATGCCTAGTCGCCATTGATTCAGTTCAGTCCAGTCTTCATCACGCAGATCCCTTGAGCTCATCGCCTTCTTGACACTCTCCATCCAGTTTGCCTTTGGTCTTCTCCGTTTTCTTCTCTTTTGTGGAAGCCAGTTTAGTACCGAGTATTTTTTGTTGAAATTTAAAAATGTGAACTTATAACCATACATAGGAGGTGGCAACATTGCATTCTCTCAAAGAACAATAAACAAATTTCCGGAAACTGAACAAGCAGCACTTAAAAGTATTTTAATATTTTCCGGAAAATGTTAAAAGAAAAATTCAACAGTGCTGTGAGTTGTTTCAAGGATGGTACGGCTGTGCTATATCGTAATAATACCTAATATCTTATAATTTCTATCAACCGTAATAATAATAAGTGCACAAAATCAAAAAAAGGTGGTCAAACTGTATTATATTTACTATGTTGTTGGAAATAATTTAATAATATGCAAATATTTCCAGTCTGCAAGAATAGTGTATTAAAAAGTAACATAAAAATGAAAAAAATATTTTTGGTAATAATAATCAATTCCATTACTAAAAGCATCACGACCGAAATTGACAAAATTTTTATACACAAAATATATTTTTCAATAAATTGAATATGACAAAAGTATTCGATATATTTTACGAATCCATTGTTATTCCCTCCATATGAAATTCTCGTTAAACCATATTTTCTATAAACTTTTAATTATTAAATAAATGGATATTAGTTGCACGAAACTCCTCCATATTTAGACCCCAGCTGTGATTTATAACTATCGAACTGAAACTGACAGGAGAATCTGGCACATCAATCTAAAAGAGAAATATATTGTCAGTTGCACCTACGCTTCTAGCGGGCTGATAGATTTTTAATTATTATTTTGATAATAAAAATATCAAATAGAGCTCCCTCTGTAACAAAAAAAAACAATGATAAATCTCTGGTTCAAATGTTCATTAAATTTTTGTAAAATATATAACGTATTTTTTTGATAATGGGTATTGATTGGTTTTGAAATTCAGTTTCAACCTAATTAATAATTGTAGATTTAGTAATCATATAAGAAATTATTACTTTACAAGAAATTATTAGCCGACCATACCAACAGGTATGGTAGGCTCAAGGATATATAGAAGAAGGATATTCAACTCCCTATAGCGGGCTATGTTGGAAAATATGCCGTATTTTGTCGAGGAAGACGATTTCGTCACGACCAATGAGCGTCGAGTATTTGAAATTGAAAACATATATATTGACGGTAACCTATGTTTTTGACTCATTTCACTGACAGATGTGATGAGATTATTATTGTAATTTATAGATCCAAACGTTTTTGAAAAAATAATGTATTTTAAAGTTATTTCCTAGAGTTTGGTTTGACCTTCTATATTCTGGTATTTGTCTACTAATAAATAATATCTTATTTTGTATTTCGATGTATGGAAATCCGCAAGTTTTGTATCTGAAGCCGCAAAGAAATTTCTGCTCTATAGTGAGAAAAATGTTATTATATCTTTTAGACGTGTAGAATTACAAAATTTCTTATTTCAGATGTTCTAAATGTGAGTGCATGTCAAAATTTAAATATATACTTGAAATATTATTTCAAGTTATATGCTTTGACATTTTTTGGAAGTAAACAAATATTGAAGAAAGTGTTGTGCCTTCACAGGATTTAAATTGGCATTAGGAATAGATTTCCTTGATTTAGTAATGATATTGCTCATAGAAATTGATAATGTGAAGAATAACAATACAGGAACATAGAATAACAAGAAAGAAATTCTAGCAACAAGTTAGGTTATGAGATAAATTTTATTTATATAGTTTGTTTAAAGAGTTTACTTTGAAAAAAAGGCAAAACAATTATTATTGTCCAGGTCATATTTGATAACTGTTGTTAATTGATAACATATTACAGGGACACAGTAAAAAGACAAAACATTTAGACCCTTTGAAAGAGAAATGTTTGCAATGGATATTAATAAATTCTAGCCAATTTGTAATGATGTACAATGCAGGCAATATTTCTGCCTCCTAACGCACTATTCGCGTAAAAGAAGATGTGGGTATTGTATTTATAGGTAGTTAATGATACATGGAATATATTTCTATATTGCAATAACGATGTCTTTATGTTGTATTTTTTAGAACAGATTTATTATTAGTTGGCTAGTGTGTTAGTAGGATAGCCATTGGTAGTTATAAAGTCGTCAGGTATTAATAATAGGAATTGATCAAAGCTTATACATTTATTGTGATATTTATATTGTGAATTTAAGTAGTTAGTTTTGGTTGTTTAATAAACGAATTAATGTGCTTATTGTGTATCTAAGTAAAAGAACAATGAAAAGTTGAATACCATAGGGGTACCTATGTTATACAAAGAATTTGCATCAACATTTTTTTGGTTATATACTTGTACTGATATTTGTTTCTGGAACTAAAGAATTATACAGTACGTATTATATTATACATACAGTATACACAATATATAATCTGCAGCTACATAGGTAGGTAGCTATTGGTAATTAAATTTTTTATCTAATATAATATCTAACTTCAGAAATATTGTTAATTATCAACTATAAACAACTAAGAACTAGAATTATCAACTATAAACACAATATAATATACTGTATCTTAAGCAATATTTAATTATTTAACAATTAATTTTTTTGGGAATTAAAAACTGGTACTAAATTCTTTTTGACTATTTAATTTCTAAGTCATATTTTCATGGTGTGATAACTCAAAAACCGCTAAACCGATTTTAACCAAATTTGGCACAAAAATACTGTGGCACCCGAGAATCTGGCCATTAGTTTTTGGTGGGGGTGGGGGGTTGGTAAGGGGGTATGGGAGGGTGTTAAAAATTTTAAAAAATCGTAACTCCAAAATTGCAGTAGCTAGCGAAACGCGGTTTTAGATTCAAGATTAGGAATAATATTTGCAACAAAATTTGTAATAACAGCAAAATCAGTCAAAGTCGCAGTTTTCGAGATATTAACATATTTTAGTATGGGCGGCTATACGGGCCTCCCGGCGCCAATTTTTTACTGTAATTTTACAAAATTGAAAATATTTCAAAAAAGTTAAGGTTTAAGTGTGGTAAACCTCAATCAGATTTACCTTTATTTCAATCTTAGAATCTAAAAATAGAATAATATACAGGGTGTTTGTTCTATTTAAAAAAATATATAACTATAATATTTTTTACTTATTTGAGACACTCTGTATTTTGTAAAATTATTTTTAAATTGTAGCTCTAATAGTACTTCAAGGAACCCAAAACTTACAATTCGTCAAAATCTAATCATTTAGCTACAATACTCCGTCTGTGACTCCGTGTCGTATGTGGTGAATAATCCTGTATATTAAACTTTAAAATACATGAAAATCTTAAGGTGTTCGTTTTTCGTGACGGTGTGTGTATCTTTTCCTAGGAGAAACTAACACTGTTCTTAACAAAACAACTAGTCTATTCATATATGTGGTTTATAAGATTTATTGGCTTCACCCCTGTCGAATTGAAAATAAGAGGGGCCAATTGAATTGAAATTTCGAGACGTTTCGAAACTCGTATTTATACAACACATTACAAATATTGCAGCAGGAAACTACACGTTATACGTCAGATTCAGACAAACGCCGAGAACGTGCATTGTGTAGCAGAATTCAATCTTCCTCCATTAAAGCGGATATGTCGGAGGGCAAATATTAGAAATGAAACAAAGATCGCTACTGGGAGAGGTCTTTGATACCGATCTAGACGTTTGGCTGTAAATCCCAAATCTCATCCATATTTTTCGGTAGCAGGAAAAGGAAACATTATTTTGAGTTACGTTAAGTTTTTGAATCGATATATTCTTTGCAGAAATTTTCTTTTATAATAGAGAATTCGCTCTCAAATATAAGTTTTATACCGGGTAAGTCTCAAAAGAGGCTCACCTCTATAACTTTTTTATTTTTTTAGTTAAAAAACGAGATTTGGTATGTTAGTATATGATATAAATTAGGACTACATTTTGACTGATTGTTAAATAGCATTCTCGATATTTTTTTTTACTTTATTCGATAGAAAATATCAGTCTGAATAGAATGACAAATCATATGTCAACTTAACTTATGTTCGTAACGAAAATTTGACTCGAAATACCAAGTGTGTGGTATCAAATTATTTGTAAAAAAATGCTTTTTCCAAATATGCTAATGAGGAACCCTCGTTCCGTTTGAAAAAATTGAGATATGATTAAAAGTACTATTTGGGCATTTTTTAACAGGCCAGGACAAGACACTAAAAACATTAAACGATGAAATCTATGTTTCCAAAGTTCCTTGATTAGGAATTAGTATTTTCAATATAGCCATGACACTCTAGATTGAAATTTAAAATACATTTTTTTATTAAGCGAGAATATCAAAAGTTGACATACAGGGTGGCGCACCTCATTCGCCTCGGTTGATTATACGAAAACGGAGAGATAGAAACAAAATATTTTATGGGTATATGTGAGGAGGCAATGTGCACAATTTAAATTATTTTGAAATATACAGGTGTTTCAGAACTAAGATTCATACCAAAGTTATATTTGTTCTTATGGAACACCCGGTATTTTATTTCATTTTTGGATTCCTGGGTCCAAAAAAAGGCATTTATTATAAAGGTTAAATATGTTTAAAATGATTGGTTTTTGAGATATTTAAAGATATTTAAATTTGCATTCTACTATAGAATAGATTATTAACACCCTGTACATTACTTTTCAGAATTAATTCTTGTGTTGAATTTAAAGGTAGAGAAATAAACTTTACTGGAAAATGTTATTGCTTCCTTAAATTTATACAGGGGTATCAAAAGTTGCTGATCTATTTTAAGGATTTATTTTACATTAAAACTTCGTTATTTTAAATACAACACCCTGTATTTTTTATAATAAATCAAAGCAGATTCAAATGCTCTTTCAAACTGTATTAGGGTTTCCTATACCTATCTAGCTCAGATTTTGATTAAAGAGCAATTTTTCAATAAAATGGCAACCAAGCGGGCTAGTGTCGTCATGGCAAGTTTCTAGTGACAGTTAGTACCTATTTTCAAAATCGAAATTAGTTTATGAGCTTATTTATATTTATGCCAGTTTACTTTTATTTAATTTACCTATAATAGTTTAATAAATGTTTAATTTATTAAATATGTATTTATTATTCGATCAAGAAAAACGAAGAAGTAGTTCTTTGATTTATTTTACGATGACTTGTAGATCGATGGATTGTAGAATATGGATTTTCTATAATAGAGACAGTTACGGTAAATTCATGTTCTTCACTTCCAACGACAGGTTTCTGGCTATCAGGTTTTTTATAAACCACACTACCAACTCTGCAAAATAGGACAAGCAGTTTTTCAAAGAACGCTTATCAGGAAAATTCCTATTTTTGGATATCTTTGAGCATAAGCTCTTGAGGCCAAGAAGCAATTTTCCTCACAAAATAGAATAACTAGAAACATATCCATCCGCCAGCAGACACTGCTTTATTTTTCTTGATAAAATAATAAATACTTATTAAACTATTTTGGGTAAATCTAAGTAAACTGTTATAAATTATAAAAATTATAAATAATAATGTCTATAAACTAATGTCGACTTTGAAAATAGTTACTGACTGTCACTAGAAAATTGCAATGGCGACACCAGCCATCTTTATTGCAATTTTATTTAAAACTCGCGTTTTATTCAAAATCTAAGCTAGATAGGTATGGGAAACCCTAATATAGTTTGAAAGAGCATTTGAATCTGCTTCGATTTATTTATAAAAGTACAGGGTGTTGCATTGGAAATAACGAAGTTTTTATATAAAATAAATAGTGATGAGTGAAATATCGGTAACTGTGACTTTGTCACTGATATACTATAATCACAGTCACGGCCTGTGACTGATTTGAAAATAAACGGTGACTTGCTAAAGCGTGACGTTTACAGTTAATTGTGATTTCTCTGGTAACGAGAAAATACTTCACAGAGCGGGACGTCGCGCGTCGCGTACGCACCTGCCGATGGCGCCGGTCGTTACTCAGTTCACTGTCACAAGTCACGACGTACGTCTCATAGGATAGATATCTGACAAAGTGATCTAAAGACAGTGACTGTTAGAAATGATTTAATTTTTTATGTATTTTATATTTTATTACTATTTTTTATCACTACGAATCGGTTTGGTTCCTTTTTAGTTTAGCAGGTTTTTATAAAGCCAAACATAAAGTTTTACCTTTATACTATTTATTTTTTTTAGAAACTTCATTTTTTATATATTTCGTTTATTTTAATACAAAGAAAAATATTTGTTGTTTAATGTATTACTTATCTTGTGTTGTTAAGTTTCGTTCGTTATGGTTATGAGCATATTGCATATTTTATTCTTTTCCCGTTGGTTTCTTTATATAAAAAAATTGTTTTATTTTTTAATATACCTTTTACCCACTGTTTAGTGTTTTCTATTTCAGCGGCCTTGGATAAAGGACAAATAAAAATTAGTATAACAACAACAACAGAATCGTATCATTCGTATCGTATCTTATATTTTAGCTGTGTGCTTTCGGATTCATAATCATAAAGTCGCAGTCACAGTTAAGAGTACATCAAAATTGTCGAGGATGGAGAGCTGGCCTCTGTGGAGCCGTCTCAGATACTGGCTTTTCTCAAAGCCCTGAGACTGTATGATGAGTTATAACTCGTTATAACTCAAGAAAGGGGAACACACAATAGATCTGTAAGGTCGCGGTGATTAACTCCCCTTCTAAACATTCTACATTCTACAACATCAAAATCAAATTTCTCATGTCAAAAAACTCCCACACACCAATTTTTATCCAAGTATTGATGATAATTCAGAAATTATTTGGAAAAATTCAAAATAAAAATGAAACTCCTACACCCTGTATCTCCGAAGCTAAGGATTTTAGGACATACATTTATACGAACTTTTTTGCTTATTTTTATCTGCAAAATATACCGCTGAAGTTTCCGGAATACAGTTCGGACCACCCTGTATAAATAAAATTAATGTATCATGTAGAACGCGTTCTTATGTGTTCAATTATGTGTTATAAAAGCTCAACAGCTGATATAAACATACATTTTTAGTTAAAAACGCTATCACAAGCCAACATGGCGGAATTTTAATTCATTATTTTATCAAATTGACATGGAATTATGTCCGACTCACTCTAGAATCATCTACATTATATCATATTTGTGTCTAAAAAGAGAGAACCCGTGTTTCCAAAATGAATCGACAATAAATGGAAACCTTGTTGCCAAA